TGGTGGGGGGCACACGTCCATCTTAGCCTTTCCCTGGGCAAAAGTAAAAGTCAGCGCCTAAGTATCCTTGTAATGGGATAATAATAAAAATGTTACACAAGTCGTTCTTTCAATAATATGGAAACAGGATGTAATTTCTAAAGAAATTGACAAATTACATGTGCTGAAAACATTTATGAACAGTCTGTTTTAATGTAGACATTTGCTTACAGTTTGCAATACTGAACATATTAAATATGGTATCTACATGCTGTAAAAATTGATGCCAAAATCAAAAGAAACCAGGAGTATCCTGCAGCAATCCTTGGCTTGTGAAATGCGATAAGCTTTCAGTGTTTATATCACTGTGGTGAGCCAGTTTCTGCTTCTGCTTTAATTCTTTGTGGCACTCTGGGCAAGTCATATTGCTTTACTGTGCTTCAGTGAAGCTGACAATTTTTATATTGACATAGTAGTGTGTGACATGTTGTTGCAGGTCTTTTAAGGCTGAATTAACTTTTCCAAAGCAGTTTGAAAGCCCCCAAATTAAGGTCCCAATCACGTGTACACATAGGGTAAAATCCTGCCACACTGATATCAATAAAAGTTGTGGCATTAGTTTTATGCATCCTGTGATCAGTACATTGACTCAAAGATGGCTAGCCTACCTCAGAATTTTCAGTGTGTGGAGTTGGAGGCACTGGACTTGCTTCAGATCTCTCTCTGGTATAAATCATAAGTAACCTCACTGAAATCAGTAGATTTATAAGACACAAGTAAGAGAAGAAACAGTTTCAAGTAGCTTTAGTATAGTATCTCAGAATAATTGCATGCTATCAGACATTTGTACCATTGTACAAACTAATATAGACATCTGCCTCTTCATTTAGTTTTTCTTATCACAGTAAAATCAAAAAATTAGTAGTAACATATAAGTAAATCTCTTGAGAAGTGTTGTGATTGGTTTCTGGAAATCAGATGTTTTTGTTAGCCATAAACCTTTTGCAAAATATTTATTTCTCTAAGGATATGGACAGATGAAAACATTAAGATGGCTTAAAAACTGGTTGGTGGGGAATGACACCACACATCAGTTTCTCCACAGTAATTGTTTAATGTGTCTATTCCTGTCCCACACTAAGTGGAAGCCAACATGCTTACTCCTGAATAAAACAGGACAATGTTATTGTAATTTAGCATCCACTTACTGTGGGATAGGAGTGGACACAGTTATTTAGTGTGGAGCAGCTGATGTGGTTAGACCCCCCTACCTTTCATCTTGGCATAATTTATTTGTCCATCCCTATAAAATTACATTTGGTTGTCTCAGGTATTTAAGAAATTATTTTTTATACAATACTAATTAAATAATGTGGGTGATATTTTGAAATCCTAGCCTATAGCAGCAGTGTCTGGAAAAGAACCTCATGATGAATCATTTTGTATTTCAGGAATACAAACGCAAGCTAGCCAGAGTATCCCAGGTCCGAAAAGAACTCAGGTCACGCATCCAGAATCTTCCTGACCTGTCCCGACTCCCAAATGTTACAGGCAGCCATGTACACCTACCATTTGCAGGAGATATCTACAGTGATGATTGATAATAAGAACATCTCTTTCCATTGCCTCTACTTTTCTGTGGAATGAGGGGTAGGTCAGACTGGTTGATATTCCTGTAGTATTATTTTTGTATATTGTTGTTGGAGAGTGGTGGTATAAATATTCCAGATAATTTATAAGAATTGTTTAATATTGATTTGTTTACTATTTTATTGGTAAGTGAGCATATAGTTACATTTCTAAAAGGTGGCATCTGTGTATTATTATGTTAAAAATAGGTAATTACCTTAAATATACATATCTTTTATACAGACTTTGATCAGGTACCCTTTAAGAAACTGATTGGTTTCTGCTTTATGATTTTTCTTATGTACCCTTTCTACTCCATGTAGTTTCAACATATAATCAAAATATACATTTAAATTGCTACATTTCAATGACTAGTGAGGCAGTAGAAATCACACTATGGAAAATCACAATTTTATGTTGATAGTAGGTTACTGCAATTTATTTTTAAGTTGAAAGTGATCTTACTGGCTATTATTAATGGACCTGTTCCCAAAGTAAAACAAAAGTAAGTTATTAATCAATTTTGAAAATGGAAAATATTAATCATGTTAAATCCAGTATGTCTTTAAGTGACTTGTTTTTCAATTTATACTACCGTAGTAACTTTTCTTTCTCTTAAAACTTCACAGTTTCAAAATTGAGGGACCACTGGCTTGTACAGCAACCCATTTCTGGCACATCCATCTCCATTAAAAAGCTGATCCCAAAAATGTGAAGCAATTCCACAGCTTTAATTATAGTGTGAGTTAGTTGTATAGGACCAGATCTACTGCTGAATGCCCATGATTAAGATTTTAATGTGCTTAAGTACCATTTTACACATGCAGCGCAATACTATAGGTAGAATGCTGTAGTAAATGTAGAATTTGGGCCAAATCATTCTCTCCCATGGAGACATCCATCCAGAAAGGCCAATAAGAGCCAAAGCCCCCATCCCTCCAAGTCCCTAGCGAACATCATCTAAATTGATGTCGCTTTTCTCACAGAAAGAGGGAAAATTCTTAGGTTATTGTATATAGTAAAATGTGGGAAAATGTTGCTGAATATTTGTTTTTTTTTAACTCCAGTATGATACAAATACAGCATTTGTATATGGGTAGATAAGCTTGGGGAAATATAATTGTTTACCATTTTTCTTGTGTACACATAAAGGGCCAGCTTTTAAGGGTGTTTAAGAGTCTAAATATACAGATGGATGTCTACTGAGACTTTCAGAATTGTTGAGCCCTCACTCCTTTTGAAATCAGTGCAAGTTAGGCACTTTTGAATCCCCCCCTAAATATCTATCTGTGTTTTTATAAATACCCTTAAAAACCTGGCTCAAAGGTTTGCAGAGGATGTATTAAGAATTTTCTGTTAATTGTTTTCCTTAGTTCCATTTCACTGTAAACTTTCATACCAATCTTAACAAATACTCACCATTCTTCATACTTATCATGCCTAGTTTTGCAAATTCAAATATTGTACATCAGCAAAATGAAAACAAATAAAGTTTACAACAAATTAACACTTTCTCTGATACCCTTTTAAACATAATTGTTTTGGAAGTAAAAATAGACTGAAAGTTTCTTTGTAATCCTGGTGTGAAACCCTGGTTCTGTTGAAGTCAATAGGACCTTTTTGCCATCAATGCTATTAGGGACAGGCCCTGGAATACTTTTTCATTGTGAACAGGAGATAAAATATTACTTTTTCAAAATATGCATATTTAGACACAAGCCCTGTGTCTGATTATCCTCCCTCACACAAAGTGCCACAAATGAATCATAGTTAAGGGTGAAACCAAAAAGGTTTTCCACAGCATCCTTTCTCTCAAGTATGGTTTTGACAGCTCACAAGAGTCACAGAGAGCTTAGTCCCCCACCCAAGTATATTTCTCTGTACTTCTCAAGGTAAAAAAGAAACAGAGTATTTGTAAAGAGAATCCATACTCTTCAGGATAGTCTCTGGGACTGTGCCTGTCCTCCCTAGCTATATCACATCATTGTAAGTGTGGTTGCTATCTATGGCCTTTCAACCATGCCTGGCCGTAGAGCACTCTTATACTCTTTGGGGTGTATATTCATGAAGTAGGAACCCACAGGAACTAAAGCCAAGTGGATAAATGTTCGTTTACACACATTTCCCCCTGAGACTTGCAATGGGATAACACACAAAAGTATCTGGCAGACTCCGCTCAAAAATCGGATTAGGAAATGAATCTATTGATGCTAGTTAACCTGAGCTCATCAGGTTGATGGCAGTTCAGGTTTATGACTCCATAGCAAAATCAGAGGTGGGGAGCTGGGGCATAATTAGCTCCAAGGAAACAAAGTAGGTTTTCTTTAGCAGAAATAGGCATGTACAAAGACAAATCTGTGGTTATTTTTAAAGAGAATGTTAAAGTACGACTGGAAAGTTAGACCTAGATTGAGCTTCATGTTTAAATGTGTTCTAATCCATTAAACTATAGCTGTATAAATGTGTGTTTAGGCATATACATGACTCAAAGCAGTTATCTCATGAACAAACCAGAAAAGCACAGAACAAAACAATAGTCTCAACAAAACACATATTCCAAAGCAGAAAGATCATTATAACCATGCAGAGCCCCCATTTGATTCATGCAGGCTCTGTGTGATTTCCAGGTTTATCTTGAAGATCCATGTAGAATCCGGAACCAGGATTTGCAAAATATTTTGTTGTAGAGAGAATGTAAACACTTGTACTTTCTCTTCCTGCCTTTTACAGAAAAACGTATGACCTTAATGTGTTAAAATCAGGGTAAAATCAGCTTTTGGCAGCTCAAGAACAGAGAAGATAGGCACTAACTTCACTATGTCTGTTTTGTTCTTCCAAATTGTTTGTATTGTAATCCTGTTGCATCTCTATAGATAAATGAGTGGTTAAATGCAAAAAAAATTAGGAAAAATCTTTTCCTCATCATAAAAAAATACACTAATCTCAAAGAAAAGTTAAGTGGGAAGTTTGAGAACTATGTATGCTGCTTTTTCTGGATAACATTTTCTGTATTTTAGTACTAAAATCTTTACCTCATGAAACCCTTGGTTTTTAAAGTAGCTATTAATACGTTGAAATGTAGGGGAGATAAATGTCCCTGGTTTGTCACTACAAGAACCCCATGCCAATCAAGGAATGATGAGCTGGATTTCATATAATTTTACAGTATCAACTAAATTAGAAGTTTTAGTGCTGTGACAATAAATGCACCAAAGGAGATGATCCATTAAGACACAGCAACAGCCATTATATTGATATCCTTAAATTCTTAGCTACCAAACCTTAGCATACGTTCCTGTAACATCTCAAGAGTAAGTGTGGGAAGCTCAGAACCTGAAAACAAGTTTGGAGACTAAATGGCAGAAAATAATTGACTAGAAAACTGTAAATGAAACAAACGTCTGGCTTAACAGAAATAGAGTTTTCTCTGTAGATTATTCATGTCCACAATGTATAGGTAGTTTTGTAACCACTCTGGGTACAGATTTGTTGTGTTTTTTATTTGGTAATGTGGTCTGCTCTCACTGAAATACCAAACTTCCCTCACTCCACAACTAAAATACCATACCAAGATACTTTTTGAGCTTGAAAATGTTACACCCCTATGCAAAGGTAGATTTTTCCATGAAACGATGTAGACAGTATATTCATTATTTGGCCTTTCTTCTTGGAAAAAAATGGAGCTAAGCCTGCAGCCCTTCATCATATAATCACTACTTATTCAGTAGTCATTTTTCTGCAACCAGTGGGACCTGCTCACAGGTATAAAGCCTTGGGTCAAGGCTCAGATTTCATAGTTGTACAATTCTATATGTCAGTTCTCCCTGTTCTGTGGTTTTTCAAACAAATGTAACATCCTTGGTTACAACACTTCAGGTATTTTAAAAATAATTTGTCAGCTTTGTTGGACGTTAACCTGTAGTTTAGAGTAACATTCACTTGCTTGCTTTACATTCAGCTACTGTTCAGGTTTTCACATATGGTGCACATACCCTTCATTATTCTCTCAACACAATCCATATACTTTAAAATGTTGTATAAAGTAACTTAGCAAAGTATCTAGCTGAGAAACTTCATTTTGATTTGATAACAGTACACGCCTGTTTTTCTAAAAGTAGTCAGTAGATTAGGAACAAACGGACCTTGCTTCCATGAGTCAGTGGCAAAACTCATATGAAGGTTAGTGATTCCACAAGGGTCCTCCAGTGGTTACAAAATGTATGCATTTAGCATGAAATTCACCTCAGTGCCAAGGACCAGCATGAGGCCCGTAGAAAAGCCCTTGCCACAGAGTGAATTTGTACCTTACAGAATGTAAGTACATAGATTCAGCATTATTGTGGATAGATTATGAAGTGGATGCAGTGGCAGGATTTCTGAAGGGTTGATTTTCTGTGGGTATAAACATTTGGGACCAGTTCCACACATTTTATTCATGCAAATGTTCACACTATTTCTGTGATTTAAGCAAGTAGATTTGGCTCTTAGTGACTCACTTTTAGAAAATTAGCTTAAAATCTTAATAGGTATGTTATTTTTTCATAAAGTTGATATCCAGTTCTGTCTGAGACCCTATCCCCTGTGTGCTAAGTTATCTCGATTAATAAGTAGATCTTCTCCATCTTATTTAGAACTCTAATTCCAGTTTTATCTTTACTACATTAAAGATGCTTAGTAAGCATGAACTTTTTGTGGGGTTTGCAAAAATGCAATAACGGCACTTTGTAATTTGTTTGCAGCAAAAACGACTTATTTGTTAAAAGGTAACAAAGGTCACAAAAGGTGACAAGTAAGAAAACAAGATGTTTGAAATGTAAAGGTGTTTCATTATTGTGCTCTGCTCACAGAATGCGTAATACTTGTGTAATTTATGTTCTAAGTAACACCTCTCTGTATGTTTTCATATTTAAAATAAATTGTTGTAAAAACATTTTGTTTATAAATAATATTATTTAATACTTGTAGAACTGTATTTTAGTAACTGTTTTTTTTATACTGACCCTATGAACCACAACAGTGGGGGAATGGTTAATTTTAAGGATGACATTATGCTTAGTATTTAAAAATGGTAAAATGAATTGACACTTTTAAAGAAAAGTTCAAGACTTCCTTGTGCTGTCTTAAAGTGGAGTAATTTGTTTGGAAACCTTTGCAGAGTCTGGGCATTGTATATTTTAACTATAACCTGCTCTTGGAAAGGTACACTGCACATTACAGCATCTGTAAGGTTACAGCTCTGGGAAAAGCATATGTTTAAACCACTAGAGAGTCTGCAAGAACAGGCATTATTAGGGGCCTGGACAGTTAGATCAAAGGATATCAGCTCTCACAAAACGGTATAGACAGAGGATCTGCCTTCCTAAAACTTGTGTGAAGGCCCAATTAGAAGCAGCCCCTGAACTCTGTTCAGACTCCGAAAACCTAAAAGCAAAAACATCCAGCATGAGAAAACCGCATGGGAAAACCAAATGCAGCTGCTTGGTGGGTTTTCAGCTTTACCAGGGCTGGCATGTTAAGATGCGGGGATAAGTAGGGATGAGCTTTGTGTTTAAATGCTTGCAGGGTACAGGATCCTATTTGAAAAAAAAATCCCTATACATACAGATAATTTAATTCCTGAGCCATTAAAGTTCAAACTTCTTTGAGACGTGGCATATTAATTTTATTATTCCAGCAATACACACTGATGTACAACCCATTTGGAAACAATCTTTGTATTTTTATGTGATGTACTCAAATTTCCCCCTGCATTACAAAAAATAAAAAACTTGGCAAAGAAAGATATTAAATAGTATCTGGGTATGTTGTAAAGAAGTATTTAATTTGGTTCATTTATGGAGCTAATCTTAACCATTGCTTTGGTATCCTTTATCAAGATTACTGTAGTCATTCAGTATTTTAAAGTGAAGACAAGAAGTTTTTCAAGCCCCCGTTCTGACTCTCTTCTTTTTCTTCTTGGTCAAGAAGCCATTTTAAATGAGAGAAGTGAAATTTTGTGTTCCTGGGAGTCCTGGGAGAAGAAATGGGTGTTGACTTTCCAGACTTACATGTTCTGAAAAGGAAAGGAAAAAAGCAATTGATTTGTAAAAAAGTGAGACTGGTATAAATAATAACACTGTAATTTTATGGCCAGATTTTTAAAATGTTCAATGAATACAATTTTAATTGCAAATATAAACTATATTTGAACATGAAAGTGAGCAGGTATAAGCATAATTGCCTGTCTGTGGATGCATCTACACGAGATATTTACTGCAGAGTAGACTAATTAGCTCTGCAGTAAAATGTCATCATCTACACATGTGGTATTATTAGGACAGAGTAAACTACTCAACTCTGTCACAACGCATGTGTAGATACTGACGGGGCTGGTTGCAGCATGAGGGTGCTTTGGTGCAGGGGCTGCCTACCAGCTAGTCCTGCACTGAAGCACCCTCATGCTCCAACCAGCCCCTCTGCAGCATGCTGAACTGGGGCAGAGAAGCCCTGGGCTGGTAGGCTGACCCCCAGGGCCCTCTGCCAGCCAGAGCTGCTCTGCCCTGGCTCAAAGTGCTGCAGTTCTGGGTACATGTGCAAACAGTGCGCCTGGGAGCAATAAACTCTGGCACTAACTGTACCAGAGTTTATCCAATCGCCTTAATACCATGTATAGATGTGCTCTGTGTATACAAACACTGAGCTATGCACACAGCTGCAACTGTGCTTAGAAAAAAAACAATCCCTAAAAGAACATTTGATGCTAAAGGACAAAAAGAACTTGAATGTATGCTTATAGCTATAGACTTCAAGTTTCTTTTCTATGCATACTCGCTCTGTACAATAGAACCTTTTGACCCCTACGACTAAACAATTAAATCACTGGTCAGGAAGCCTCGATTTAATCATTTTTTTCTACAAAGAGTGAATTCTCGTTGTTTTATATAACCATAATACATATTATTCATAACTCAGAGATAATGTAGGTATCATTTTTAGAAGGTACACATTAAACATTTTAAAGCAGTGACTTATTTTGATACATTTTCAGATTAATTTTGTAGCTACATCAGAAAACTGAATGATTTGGTTATTTTATTTATGAATTCAAGCAGATACTTGTGAAGTCACTGGGAGGTAAACTATCTCCAATTCAGTAGATTAATCTTTTATATTTTGCGTGTTTGCCACGCTATATTAGGAGGACATCAAATGAGTGTTGCAGCCATAAATTATTAGCTTGGGGCTTTCTTCACTTTCTTCTAGATTTCTTCTCATCTTTGATTTCTTCTCTCCTTTATGGCCTGACAAGCCTGCTGCCATGATAGGTTTCCCTTCTAGCATACCATTCCCTTATTAGATCTCAAATCAATGGAGAGGCTATACTCAGCAACTTATCCCTCAAGACTTCTGGCATATTCTGCTCAAAATGTTTCTCTTACGCTCCTACTGCCCCTCCCTCCTTGTATTTGTCACCAGACTCCTCCCTCCTTGCCCCCAACAATTCTCTATTCATTTAACTTCTTGAAACTCTGCACTTTTAGAGAGTGGTAATGGCTTGACTCTGCACACAAACTTGCATAGAGACAAACAGGGCTGATGGGTAGGTCATCAGGTATGTCAGTTTGAGAACTGAAACTAAGCATCACAGAGATGCTTAATGGGATCTTCTAGACTGAGCACTAAGTCCCCATTGGATAGAGTGATTTTTCTCTAATCTTTACTAATCCATAGAGGAGCCTCTGGGACCCCCATAAGATTGGACCCCTAATATAGTCCATGGCCTGTTGTGACATATTTATAAAACTTTTCTAAAAAGGTTACATGAACATATTGCCTCAAACAGTATATACTTACCTCAAATAATATATAAATACCTATTCCATGATGATATCGTTGAGGTTTAACATACCTTAAATTAAAACTATCTTTACAAAGGTTTATTTTTTTTAAGTATTGTAACAAAAAAATTTTTTAAATACCATTAAATCAAAAAACATCTGATTTAAATTTTTAAAAAATTAAAATTTGTATCCACCCTGAAACTAATTATTATTAAATGACATCTGATATCACAGTAAGTCAGTGGGAGATAGGACTGTGCCCTACTCATAAAGGTATGTTGCCCTTTTACGTAAAATGGAAATATGTACTTGGAAATGGATGCTGGACTCCTGCCTTTAGACCCAGAGTTACTGTAACTTGAGGTTGTCATATTTGTAGGTAGTTTGTTCAGGACGGGTGTTTCCATGACGGTTTTATTCCTTGGAGTACCAGAACAGCTAGCTACTGTTGCCAAAAAGTCCCGTCTTTCACCATAATGTCTTGTTGTTTTGTTGCACAAGTTACATGTAACCAACTATAAGGAGAGAGAGAGAGAGAGAGAAGGAAATATTAGCTCTTTTGACCGTTATTCCCCATTTTATTTATAAGGTTGTTGTGAGACTCACCAAACTTTTATTTTAAATTCAAGAGATTCAAACTGTTTAAAACTACTTGCTTGCATGAAGCAGGGAGACACAAAAAGCTATGTTAAATTCACAATTCCATTTTTTCTTTAAGCCACTTAAGACAAATTCCCAGAGGTATATGGAGATGACACCATTGCCCTTGAAATGAATGTCAGGAGATCCTTGAATAGCAAATGCATAACATACTGAAATATGGAAAAGAAAGGAAAAGAAACAAGGAAAATATTAGACAACATTAAGACTCGCTCTAACTGTACAGCACTTTTCACCACCAGGTGGTAGAAGCTCCGTTCTTGGAGGTTTTCAAAACCCCACTAGACAAAGCTTTGGTTGGGATGATCTAGATAGGGATGGTCCTTGCTTTGAGAAGGGGGTTGGACTAGATGACCTCCTGAGTTCCCTTCCATCCCTAACTTTCTATGATTCTATGAATGCACCTCAGTGGATTTACATTTTATTACAAATATACAAAATGTTCAAAATACATTTAAAAATGTGCACAGAACTGCATTTGTGCTTAGAAAGCAAAACCAGTCCCTAAAAAGGTTTTACACTAAAGGGTAAAAATAACTTTGTTTATAGCTGCAGATACTTTGAGGTTTTTTATGCACATTGCTCTATTCATTACAAGCTGTTTGATGTTTGCAATTGAAATAATTATAATTACTTTCTTTTCAGAAAGTTTAAATCACACTTTTTGTTTGGAGACTCACCAAGGTATAATAAAAATCTCCAGCATTCAAAAATAAGGGTATGTGGATGTTAAATATCTCACTGAGTGTAGCTTTTGTTACTGAGGCAAGGATGCTCATTGAATCATGGAGAACGGGAACCCAACAGAGGAAGTAGAGCCATCATTTCATAATATTTGAGTAGTTACCTAAAGTTAAAAAGAAAACCTCCAAAATGTTTTATTTCAAAAGAAGTATTTTGATCAAGAAAGATGCTATGCATTTTTCAGTTTTGTGGGTTTGACCAAAGTCAATTCTTCACATGGCTCTAGCACTTAATAAATTTTTTAGCTCTGTTGCAGGGCACCAAGGTGTGCCTGCACCTTTAAAGGCAAAAGCAGCCTAACAAAGGAGCCCAGAGCTCCACAGCTGCAGCTGCAGGTTGCCTGAGTAACAGGCTAACAAGGTAATTAGCACCTGCAGGCAGTCAGCTGACCAGAAGAACTCAGAGCCCAGGTAACATATAAGCCAGGGCTGGTTGAGCTCACTCTCTGGCAACTGCAGGGAGAAAGACTTCCTGCACAAGACTGCTGCCTAACATATCTGACTCCCTGCTTGGCTACCTCCAAATCCAGTAAGACTCTAGGAGCTCATAAGGTACCCAGGGCTAAGGGGTACGCTATCCTAAAGGTGGGAGTTTGCTCTCTTAAAGGGGCAGTGTACTGCCTTTATTGTTAGCTTTATGTTATAGCCAGGGGTTTAGGTTTGTTATTGTTTGAACTGGTGGACCAGGATGAGGCTAATAGGCGAGGATGAGGCCTCATTAGTGCCCAAAGGAGCACAGGCTAGAAGACCTAGCTATATTAAAGGGGTGGAGGCTAAGTAGGCCGAGACCCCAACAATAGGAATAATTCTAATATTATAAAAGCCTTCGTCTGTCTGTCTGTAATGCTTTATTTGCACTCTGATTGGTTGTCTGAAACAGCCACTTGGAGTGCTCCAAGAGCTTTCCAGACAAGAAGCGAGGGGAACGGTGGAGCTGACAAAGTGGGCAGGCACAAGGGGGAGAGAAGCTGGAAGGGGAGGGGGGGGGGCCCACGTGTGCGTCCCCCGCTCCCGGCCGCCACTGGGCCCTGAGGACAGCCAGGAGGCGGGGGATGCATGTGGCCAGACATGTAGCAGCGGTGGCACAGGGTGTAAGCTCCCCACCATGCCTGGGAGGCAGCGGCACTGCTGCGGGGTGGAGCAGCAGGGGGAGGGGTGCGCTAAGTTAGTAAGCTAGACAGCAGGGGCACACATGGGGCTGGAGTCACAGCAGTGGTAGTGCAGGCCAGCTCCATCCCCTGCCTGCCCCCCCACCCCCCATCATTCTTGATGGGTAATTGGCTAGTATTTGGATAAGGCCTGTGAGGCTTGGGGTGTGGTAAAGGTGAGGTTTGGAGCCATGCAATTGTTCCACAAGACCTGAGGTGCCACACACAGCACGGTAGTAAAGAGAGGCCTGGCAAAAGGCCCAAAAAACAGA